AGGAGTTAGATGTCTTTAATTGCATATAAATAATGACTAGTTGTTTCATGTAAGAGATTATGTGGTTTGTTTATGTTTTTTTAAAACCTACTGTGATTCTGTAGTTTTATTCCCTGAAAACTGACATAGATTGAAAGTGAGGTTAATGTTTTACTCTTAAAACCTGAATTGTTTCCATAGAAAGCTTTTTATTTAAAATGATGGACAGTTGCAAGTGTTTCTGCATATCTGAACACACGTCCTTTAAATGAGATGGATTATTGCAAATGTATAGCTTGTTTTGAGAGCACACAGATGATGTCAGGGATCTTCTGTATTAAATACAGTTGAGTATGCGACTTGGGAAGATAATTGACCTCTGATTAGTTACATGAAATTAGCAGCAGTGAAAAGAGGTGTGTTTCCTGGTAAATATGTTACAAGGTGTTAACATCAATGAAAGGCCTTGAACGTTTCTATTAATAAGACAAGAAATATAGTAATAGGTCAACTAGTTTAGCTTGTTATTGAAAATAAGACTTTGTAGCAAAAAATGATTCGCACTTTTTTTCGTTTGTTTCAGGTCCAGATCCCACAGCAAGCATGCCAAAAGGTATGTAAATCTGCAGACAAGGAAACCAACCTTACAAGCTTGGAACATGGCAAATTTATCAAGCATTACTAATTCACAATGCCTTTGTTTACTGGCAAAGCATCCTATTATGGTCATCTTGCTGGGTGCTTATACAGCATTTATCACCATGTTACTGAATCATTTATGCATGTGTGTCTGATCTATGGCTACTACAGTGTAGCCTCTGATAATGGCTGGAACACAGAGGATTACTTCTTGTTCGAAATAGAAGCTTGTGTTTAGTGTCTTTTTCTGAAAATCCATGTTTTTAAATCCCAAGCTCCAGGTTAAGTCTTGACAGGGTGTAGCGTGAGTTTTCCTGACCTACAGTTGAAAATCACCAATGAGATATTACTGTAAGGTGATTAAAAAAGACAAAATATCATCAACCCCTGATGTTTAGAACCTTCCAGACTGGGCTTACTGTGGTAACTGTGGAGAATATAATACCATGTTCTCAGGACATCATAATGCACAACTTTTGCCTGAAGATCACTGTCACTGCACTGAGGAATTCTAAAACTTCATCTGATAAGCAGAAGGCTTCAAACAAATGCAAAACTTCCCTGTTTTGTCTTTCTTTTTCAAAGCCTGAATTGGCTGTGCTCTAACTGGAGGTTCGGCATGAATCAGCCATCGGTCTGTCTTAGTTACAAAGGACTTCCTAGGTTTTTGATGTTGCTTTTCTCTCTATGTTTGCCTGGTTAGTGTCATAGCTCTGAACACTGTAGACTGTTCTCTGCATAGACCTGCTTGTGCATAGAGCATTTAATACTCAAAGTGCACAGATAGAGCAGCTAGGTGAATCACTGTACACTTTCCTTATTTCTATTACTAGATCTAGGTCCCGGGAACGTCGCAGGCATCGGTCTCGCTCAGCCTCCCGGGAACGCAAGAGAAGAACCCGCTCCAAATCACGTGAGAAGCGCCACCGCCACAGGTCTCGTTCCAACAGCCGCAGCCGGAGCCGCAGCCACCACAGAAGCAGGCATAGCTCCAGGGAGAGGAGCCGAGAACGCAGCTCCAAAAAAAGGTAAATATTGGTCCCGAACAAAGTGGCTTTTCTTCCTGGATGGATGGTGAGAATTTTTGCACTAGATTGAGTTTGTTTACAGCATCTAGTAACTTAAATGCGTTTCTGGGGGCTGTTCAACATGTCAGCCCCCCCCCCGCCCCCCACTTTGGGCTCTTATTTCAGAGGTGGATCCCATCTGTTGTGTACTGTGACAGATGAAATCACATCTAAATGTGCTTACCAGAAAAAAAGCTTGTCGAATATGAAGGTGCTGTTTTTGCAAGGAAAGTGATTTGACTCTTCTCAGATGGATTACTGCAGAGAACAGTCTGGAGCTGTTGCTTTTAAATGCCTCAATTGCTGTCTGCTTCTGAGGAATGATAGCTTATTTTAGATGAGTGAGGTAAGCATAATTTCCAAGAGTGCTGGAATTGTGCAGCTGGGCATCTGGCAGGAATCTGCTTATAAGTAGGATTCCACTCTTGTAAAGGTCAGCCCCTGCAACAGGGAGTTGCAGGGCAGTACTGTAGGCAGGGTGCCCAGCCTGAAAAGCATGATAACCTGGGATTACAGCTGGGATGACAGAAGAGAAGAGATCATGTATGAAGTGGCTGCATATCCAGGATTTGTAATTCAAGTTAATTCTAGGAGTTAAATCAACAAGGCTGTGGAAATACTTGTTGAATGTGTTCAAGTATCTTGTGCTCTTTGCCCTTGAGGAAAGCTTTTTCCTTCCTGGTGTAACTGACTGTAGTCCCATGGGTGCTCTGTAGGGGAACATAAGACAAGGTTGCTCTGAATTTTTTGTTTCCTTCCTTGAATGGCAGATAGATATATCCAGCACACCAATTGGTACAGTCAGTAGTGTCTAATATTTAAAATTGTTAGAATGTCCTTTAGTGTCCCGAAGTCAATATTTTGGACTTGGCAGTTCTTTTTTTTGTAGCCTGTCAACTCACTCATTCTGTAGATCTATACTTTACAAGACATTCACAATGACATATTAACAAAACTTAAAACTTGTGATTTCTCATCTTAACATAGACATTTTTCCTTGAGAGGTCAATACATTTGTTCATTTGAATGAACCACTGTGTAGCATGTGTTTAAATTGCCTTTATTCTTCACCTTTGAAGCCCAGCCTCACAAGACTGAACTTCTGCCCTTCTGCGAAGAATTGATTCATTGCTTCTTGGGGAAATAAAAAGTATGGGCCAATAGTGATGACAGAGCAATATTTTTTTTTTTGACCAAAATCAGGAAAAATCCTTGATACATAAGGAGTTAACAGTAGGCTACTGTTAACAAACACAAAAAAAATGTAATTAGAAATATTTTTAGTATTGAATGCTATAAAGTTGAAATCTTGTGCCCTGAATTCTGTTACTTCTCATTAATTCATGGCAAGCAAAGAAAATTATACTGATTCATTTCTCCAGGATTTATATCAAATAAGAAATGGAGATCTGTGCTACATGATGTTTTTGTCATTCTGTATTCTTCTCGGAAAGTTTGACTCTATACGTGTCAGACTGCAGCAGCAGTGGTAACATGTTTTGTTGTTTCTAGGATCTTTGAAAGAAGCATGGAACCGTTTCAGTGAGAAGAGTCACATCATCTTATATTAACTCAAATCCTTCCATGTAAATTTAGGGTGGTCAGAATACCGTAAACACCCAGTAACATTGGCAAAGGTCTTGCAGACAGCTGAATCCTGTTCTAAAAGCCATATAGGTGTGTGAGTAGGTGTGTTTGGTTTTTTTTTGTTTTGTTTTCCTGTTGTTCCTGTTTTAGTTGACTCGGCAGGGCTTTAACATGTAGTCATATTTGATTATTAGATTTCCAGCGGAGAAACTTAGCAGTGTGCTTCTCCCAGAAGACATTTTCCCAGATGTAGGTGAGCATTATCACAGGAAACAGATGTTAGGTGTCATTCTTTGCAACAAACATCATCCAGTTCATTTGCTTTTCCTGATTACCCTTCTTTAGAATGCATTTTCCACAGAACCTTTCATGTAAAATGAAAGGCTGTCAACTTTTAGATATTTCTTCATTTTGAAAGTAAAGGGATGTATGTTGTGTGCTATATTGGAGAAAATTCTGCAAATGCATAATTTTGTCTCAGACAAATGTATTTTCTTTACTCCATATCACTATTCACCCTACAAACAGATGGATACATTTTTCTTACATCTGAAATGAGATCCCAGCCATTATCAGCATAAAGAGCTGACTTCCAGGCTGCCACAGCACCACTGGACACATACAAAGCGTCTGGTAGAGGTAGCAATGTGCTGAAGAGAATGGAAACCCAAGGTCTTTGCAGGCTTGAATTACTGGTTCATCAAGAGCAGGTCTAAATACAGTTCTCTTGTTACTCAGTGCTAGCTAGAAATTCTAAAGCATTAAAGTAAATCATCTTTCATCTCATTAGGAACATCATAGTGAATCCTCTTTGATTTGCACTGAGAAGGTCAATGCCTGGATTTAGACATCCTTACTGAGAGACGTTAGTGTGTTTGTGCCCACTTGCAAGGCTTCATGTGACAAGAGATAATATATTCCTTTGCAGGCATCATAAGGTCAAATAAAGTACCTGAAAATCTAGGTGAAGTGAAATCTCACCTTTGCTCTACATGACAAGTTTAGGCATAAATCTCATGAGTCCCATTACAGGCTTATCTAACCTATTTTTGTGTTTATTTTAAGCTGATACAAATCATGCTCTAAAAGTGTCTGTTTCTCCTACTGACTATTAGAAAAATCTGGCCGGTCAGATTAGGTGAGAGATATCCTACTCTTAACACTTGGACAGAAATACTTTTTCAGTGTACTCCAAGTTTCTTGGCAGAGTATACTGGCCCTATGTTTATTCTTTGCTATGGCAGAGAAATGTAGATATTTAGGTTTCTTTATTGTTAACAATAAAGCGGCTTAAGATTTTGGTTGAATATTTCTGTTCATGGCAGTCATTAAATCATATTGACATCTCTCTCTACTTCTTTAAATACCTACTCTTCTTGCTTTGCCAAGATTACTTACATTTTTTTCTCCTGAGTCCTACTGATGCAAACATCCACTGATTTTATAACCAGATTCAGTCACTGCATTGGCAGGGTGGCAACTGCCTGCATATCACATGGGACATGGGGTAGGGTTTCTGCTGTAAGTAGCTACTTGATTAGTTGGGAAATGATCTTTTCCACGCATTGTAAATCATGTAAATCTAGTGAGGCCGTGATTCTACAGGCTATGTTTTGTCTTTGAGGAAGGTGGGAATGGTACTGCAGTTCTCTTGGAAGCCTTATAGTGATAGTACTATTTGCTCGTGCAGTTGATCTTGTCAACTGATGAGAGAGTCATCTGTAGAGAGATAGGATGACTGGACATCGCGTTGCCCCAGAAATGCTTTAAATGAAAAGCCAGAGTTGTGGGTGGCATCACATTCTACTGTTTGCCTCATTCGGGGATTAATCAGTACACTTAGCCTGGATCAGCCAGTTTAGAAGTAACATCTGCTGTTGACTGGCAGTGCAAGGTACAGCTGACAGCAGGATTAACTCCTTTTTGAGGGGCAGAGGAGAATGTAGTACCTGCTATGCCAGAATCTTGTGGTATGCTATCTGAGCATCTCCGTGTTTGTAAATACAAGGTCTCGCAAAACACTGTTGTAGAAGTCTTTTCATCATATGAAAAGTCATTGTCCCTTGACAAATTTACAAAGAGAAATTAGTACAGAAGCAGGTTGCAAGCTTTTTTTTATGAAGCTTTGAGGTGGTGACATTAAATGGGGAGAATACAATCTGCCAGTCAAGTAGGCCAGATATTTTTAAAATTTGAAAGAAGATTGGATTACTGGCCACCTTAATAGCACATTTTAAGGCATTTTCTGTGAAAGTATGTATTGGATTCTTTTATGACTGCAGGGCATCTTAAAACAGAAATAACATGCTTTTCAGCTCAAGGCTTAGCTGCACTGTGTGAGGGAATATGGAGGAGGATGGCTAATTCAGTTTTCAATAGAGACAACTCCTAACTTAAAGCTATATGGAGTGGTTAACAGAACAACTCTTTTCCAGCTCCATTGTAAAAGTTTTAGAAATGACTAGAATCACAGTAAAATACCTAAAAATAACATGTTAGTGCTTTAAAATCACTTAAGTGATCATCTTAGTGGTCATTCTTGGTATAAAAACTAATTGTAGCGCAGACTGTGGGATTTGCTTTTTCCATTTATCAATGTACTAGCCTAATTCCAAAACCTTCACAAGTTCAATTTCCTCCTCCTTTTAATCAAACTCGCATTTTAATCAAACTCCCATTTTAAACTTTTTAATGTGTATTTTATACATCCGAGCTGCCTACATATACTTCTCAAGATAAAGAATATAAATAGACAGGTGTTGAAAATAAGAGACATTAAGAAGCAAGTGAACCTTAATCTGGACTCAGTAATATACATTCAAAATTGTTGCCTTTTTAAGTGCTTTATTTTGAAATTGGAAGTGGGGAAGGGAAAGGAGTGGAATGATTTCTGTTTTCTTATACATTCATGTCTATAATCATTTAAATTTGGGTCAGAATGAAAATACAAAATGGAAATGCTATTTCTGACAGCTACAAGTTGATGACTACTTTGTATTCTCAAATTTACTGCCTTTTTCAGATCCTCGAAAGAAAGATCGTCCAGAGACAAAGAACGTTCGAGAGATCGTGATAGAACATCACGTGATAAAGATAGAAGCCCAAGAGAAAGGTCACCCCGAGATTTCAAAGATAAGAAACGTTCTTACGAAAGCGCTAATGGCCGATCAGAAGACCCGAGGAGCTCAGAAGAGCGTGAAGCAGGGGAAATATAACTGGCTGTATATTCACCTGATCTCTAGCTTCCTATGGAGTTGCATACTATGGTTTAGTTTACAGTTGTTCAAAGGGATACCAGTGAGAAGTTCCAGACACTGATCCAACTAGGATAGATGTACAGTATATAAAAGTGGTTATAAGCAAGTCAGAATTAAATCCCCTCGGTAAATGATGCCTAAAGCTGGGTCCTGGACTTCCGCTAAGTTGTAAAACTTTTCAGAAAGATTTCTCTTTATTCAGGACAACAGTCTTATGTACCAAGATGCAGATCTCAATGTTTTTAATCTCCTTTCCAATACATGTTAGTGAACAAATTATATTGTATTACTTGCCTTGGGTGCTTTTGAACCTTTATAAATTCTCCAATTCTGCTCCAGTCAAAACAGCAGCATAGAAAGGTTGTATCTGGGGGGAATTTTTGGTTTGCTTTTTTTGTAAGAGGGTGGGTGGATGGATATTAACTTTTAAGATTTTGTTCCCAGAGATTTTTGTTTGGGAACCTAGGAGTTGATTACAGTGGGAGCATTTAGACAGGAATGTGTGCTGGAGGAAGCTAAAATGTCTTTTTACAGTGCCTATTTAGACTTGGAAATTGAACAACTGTTGCATTACATCCTTTTTTTTATTTCTACTTAAATTTTGAAATCAAAGCCAGTCCCATATCTGTACCATTTGATTGGTATGTGTTCAATATATTTGTTTTTTTTCCATAAGGACTCTTTCTGCTTTTTCTTGTGGGGTGTAAACGGCACATCCGTTAATTGTAAAGAATAACAAAGCAAAACAACAACAACAAACTGAGAACAAAAATAAAAAATAAAAAAGGAAACCGTATTGTTCAATAACTTAAAAAGAGTATGCTGGTCTTGTAAAGTGGTTCCCTTTTTTTGTAGCCATTCAGTCATTTGATTGACATTTTATTATTTTGTTTTTAACTTGCAAGTTTGCTCCAGGAAAAACAATATTTCTGATTATAATCCTAACTATCCTCAGATTTTTGGAGGTAAAAATTTACAGAATCCTAGGGATCATGGGACAGATTTTAATTATTTAATGGCTTCAGTTTCAAAAAGCGATGTTTCATTTAGGTGGAAGTTATCTTCACAAAAAAGGGATTGCTGTGAATTCTGTAGGATTGAAAGTGCTTTGGAGTGCATGAATTATTTGAATTGGTCCTACCTTCACACAGAAGAATTTAGGAATTGGTAAGTTTTTTCCTTCTTGAGATAGCACCACAGTTCCATAAGAGCAGTACTAAAGAGCTGTGTTTGTAGGGATTATTGACATCTTCAGTATGTTCTGCAGAAACTCCTCTGCAGTTTATAGTCGCAGGGCCACACAATCATGGATAAACAGCTTGGATTTTTTGTATCTAGTGCTGCATGCATTTATTTCTTGATACCTTTTTCTGTAGCATTTAATTTTTTCACTATGGTCTTAACAACACATGGTTGATAATTCTAGCACAGGGAAAATTCTAGTAGTATTTTGCTGGCATTTGAAAGCTAGAACAGGACTGTTACATTTCAGCAAGGACCTGTATCTTGCACCCAACCATCCAACATACCACATACCCTCCTTTTTAAATTCAAGGCCTTCTAAGCTCCTGTAGAAATACTGTAATAATTATGGCTGACTCTTCTTTTTTTTTTTTTTTTTTTCTTAATCTACTTGAAATCTGAACATGAATTTCCTTCCTGGGAATGTTTTGTGATTTCCTGCGTGGCCCAACTCCTTGACAAATGTAAGTCATCAATATTTGTCCCTCTGGTCTGTGCACACTGTTCAAGTGTTTGCTAAAGTCAGTGTTGTCACGCTTTCATTAATGAAACACTAGCTCCCAGTGTGACAAAAGATGGTTATTTCTAGTTGCATATTGTATAGCAACTTTGTAGGTGAGTGAAATGCTGCCAAACTTCTGGAATATAAATATTCCACAAGTACTGACGTCTTTTTCCACTGTATCCAGCAAATAGAGATGCTGTGTTTCTATTTAAATATATATATACTGCTTAACAGCGAACTAAGGAAAACATGCCATTGACTTTACAAATGGCTCTTACTTTTTTGTTTGCTTTTAATATAAAAGGGTGATTGGACTTTGGGCCTTTCCTTATTTATAGGTTTTCCTAGGTTGGTGAGCTCCATAATATCAGAGTGCCCACAAATATTAAGCACAGAGAAGGTAAGTGTTACTGCTAGTTTCCTGATTAAAAAAGAAAATATCTGAATTGTATGTGGAAATTAATACTTGCCTTGTGTCTGAAAGGGGGACTGGAGTACAGTTAGAAAGAAAACCTAATTAAGGCTACTGATACCTTCCTCCTGGTGCAAGAGAACTGGATCACCTACCAGTGCTTTATTAACTGTGTCTGTGTAAGTAATGATCCTCCGCCCTTCTATTCAAATCAAGTGACCCTAACTACCTGTTTCTTGGAGGGTGAAGCTTTGAGGCTTTCACCTAAATATTTCATGCTGAATATTTTATGCATCCAATATCAAGATAAAGAGTGATATTGATAAAAGTGTTTTGGATGCTCCAGGTGATGAAAGGGAGTTGGAAAAAGTAAATAGCTGTCGATCTTTACATCTTTTAAGGGAAAAGGAAATTATGACAGTATCAGAGTGCTTCGAATCAATCAAATAGTTTGGGCTTTTTTACTTACGGTCACAATTTGTGCTAGATTTCCCTTCCCCCCCATCCCCTTACGTAGGCAGTGCCCATCCAGAGTTCTGTTCTCTGGGAGGCACAGGTGGGAATGCTTGACTCCCAGGAAATACGGGGGGAAGCTGCTCTGCAGTATCTGTCACTGGCAGCGAATGCAGGGGTCTGTCCCCACTGCTGCTGTTGGTCCTTCCCCAACCAGCGCACCTTGGAGATGTGTGCGTCCTTGGGAGGCCCTTAGAACTGAGAATTCTGAAGGCCATTCCTGTTGGAGATGAAAATAAACCCTTGCGGAAGGAGGCTTTCGGCAGAGTAGGAAATGAATGTGGATGTAGCTCCTGAATGACCATAAGAATGCCGTAGCAAAGCATCTTGGTGTGTGTTTGTTGGGTTTTTCTTTTTTTTTTATGCTCGCACTAATGTAGCTCCATGTAACTTTTTAGCTGATTTCAGGTTTTACAAATAGAGCAAAAATTGTAGTTTACTCCATTTAATAAAAGTATTTGAAATAAAATTAGGGTCTAAAAGTGTATTTTCTGTATCTCAGACAACTTTTGCTCTGGACCAACTGGGAATATAAAGCAATAGCATTAAGATGGGAAGCAGCTAGAGGATACGTTACCAGGAGCTAGGTTCAGTAAAGGACCAATGTGAGCTGCTTTTCTTGCTTAACCAGGAAGAACTACATAGAAGAATGTGATATTCCTATGCAAAATGGAGCTTGACCTGGTTCAGCTGCATTTAGTATCCAATACCAGACTTTCCTATTTAGCTAGCAGAGGAGATTATTCATGTTTATTTTCATCTTCCACCAGGCAATGAATCTGGAAATTTTCCTCCTATGCTACAGGGCAAACTCCAACCACAGAGCCTCTATCCATTCTGTCTTGCCCCCTTGGTGCTTTTAAGGCACCTTCCATTCTATGCTTTGGGTAGCGGGACAAATACGTGAACCAGCCCATGTAAATGTAAGGTTGTGATAGTCTTAAATAACTTTGAAGAAGAATTGATCTATTTAGCTGAAGAGAGAAGGATGGTGACTTGCTGAAGATGTGAGAAGCCAAAGCAAAATGGCCAAGAGTGTGGGTGTGTGCTGCATCTAGAAGAAGGGTTTTATCTGTGGTCACCTAAGGGTAGCAACAAAGAAGGACCTTTTGTGTCACTGAAAACAACTTGAAGTGAGTGTGTACTCTGCTCCATAACTGTTTGAGATGAAAGCAGAATATTGGTGCTCTGTTATTGTGCAGCGGCATAATGCAAAATGAGCTGTGTGCTGGAAGTGATAGTGAGCAATTTGGTGTCATATGTTTTAAGAATCTGCCGGACCTGATAACTCCCTCAGTTCTGCCATGACCCACCTCTCGTTTTCCATGCCATCTTCCTCAGAGCAGTTTTTCTTGTTCAGCAAATGGTGGAGGTGAGTTTTGCTTGATACAGTGGTTTATTAAAAAAAATTAAAAAGCGTTAATGTGATCTTCACCCAGTCTTGTATGGTTCTTGCTCTTTGTTTCTTGCTTTGATCACTTTTTTCTACTTGCTTCTTAATAAATTATTGTGCCTGTACTGCTGATGCAATTCTTTCTTCTTTTTTTTTCAGTAAAACCTAGAAATCTTAACTTTCACTGCGGCCTGCAAAACTGGGAAGCAGTGGCCTACTGGGCAAGGGTGGCATCAGCAACTGGAAATGCAGGGGAGGAGAGGACAAAATATTTGTTTTGACCCAGGCTCCCTTTTTATCCCTGCTTTTCCTTCTTCCCTAGGCACGTAATGGAAAGTCAGCAAGCAATTAAAAAAAATCCCTCATGGTTTGCCCCCCCCAGCTCTCACTAGTTTTCTCCCCTGTGTTGCTGGGTAAGTGTAGTCCCAAACTGCTGGCTGTGCTTGGCGTGGCGCTGCGCAGAACACAGCGGGCAAGGAGGAGCCGTGGGAATACACGAGCTGGGAGGCAGCATTAACTAGCAACAGAGCAGAGGTGGCACCTGGCAACATCCAAAAGGGCCTATCGGAAACTGCTCCGAGTGTATGGCCCTTTCCTAGGCTGAAATCACAGAATAGTTGAGGTTGGAAGGGACCTCTAGAGATCATCTAGTGCAATCCCTCTGCTCCGGCAGGGACACCCAGAGCACGTGGCACAGGGTGGCATCCAGATGGGTTTGAAGATCTCTAGAGCAGGAGACTCCATAACCTGTCTGGGCAGCCTGTTCCAGGGCTCTGTCACCCTCACAGTAAAGTTGTTCTTTCTCATACGGAGATTAAACCTCCTATGTTTCAACTTACACCCGTTATGCCTTGTCCTGTCACCGACCACCACGGAGAAGAGCCTGGCCCCATCCTCCCTACAATCACTCCTCAGGTACTTGAACATGTTGATCAAATCTCCTCTCAGCCTTTTCTTTTACAGACTAAACAGGCCCAGCTCGCTTAGTCTTTCCTCATACGATAGATACTCCAGTCCCTTAATCATCTTTGTCGCTCTATGTTGGATCCTCTCTAGAAGCTCCATCCAAATCCCTCTCCGCAGAGCTGCTTTCCAGCAGGTCAACCCCTAATCTGTACTGGTGCCTGGGGTTATTTCTCCCCAGGTGCAGGACCCTGCACTTGTCCTTGTTGAACCTCATGAGGTTCCTCTCTGCCCAACTCTCCATCCTGCCTAGGTCTTTCTGAATAGCAGCACAGCCTTCCCGTTAACGCTGACTGCAGTAAAATACTGATGGTGAACTACAGTTAGGAGCATCAGGGTAAAAAAATGTCCCAGTTGCTGGCTAAAAGAGGCTGCAAATAAGGCAAATTTTAAGGCAATCCCAGCCTAAAAAGCTCACTGTGGTCTTTGCACATCCATCAATAGAAGGTAAAAGTTGTGTTGAGAACTTATGTGTGGCTGCTATAACTTCAAATTCCTGCCTTCACAAGCTCAAAAGGGGCCTGCAACAGAGCAGTGCAAGTAATGCACTAGGGCCACTTTGGTGGATTGTGGGACACTCATCTTGGTCACCCAGTTGTTGGCTCTGATGTTTCACAATCCTCATCTTCCTCATGCTGAAATTCCATGCCTGCTTGTACTCCAGGACAAAGCTTGGCCCGAATCCCTCATTTGCCAGGGAGGGGATTTGCAGATGGGCCCATGCCCATGGGACATGTCAGTGCAGCAATGGGGGTGAATCTGCTCTGCTTTGTGTGAGCAATGACCCTCTGCTGGTAGCACCAGCAGAGGGGCTTCAGCTGCAGCTGTGAGGTGAGTTGTGGGTGGGGTGAAGCACCTTGTAGCAGCCACCAAGACACGCCATGACTATGCTCTGTCTCGGGAAAGCTGCTTCTGGGTACATCAGGAGCCTGAGCTCTCCAGGGGTCATGCAGAAAACTTACAGTGCAAGGGAGCTGCTGATCCTGCTGTCCCTGAGCAGGCAAAAGGCTCGTTGGAGGGCGCTGCGTGGTGCGCGGGTGGCCTATACCAGGGTGCGGGTGGGAAATCGCTGCCGTGCAATTTGGGCTGCCTCGGTACTGGCCATGTAGTCTGACCGGTGTAACCACACACTCATGCCTGTTTCACCGGATAGACCAGAACTGCTGTGGTGTGGCACATGCAGTTTGCCGAACCTCAGTAGTGTTTTAAATGTTCGTTAGCTGAATATTGGATTTTTAAAAAGGCAAAGGAAAGAAGAAGCATCTTGCATCCCCTTCTCCTAAAGCAGGATGTTGTAGTGAAATAAAAAATCAGATACTTTGGGATGCTGAGAGTCATTCAGAAGGTTAAACTAAATTTGTGGGTTTTTTTGTTTGTTTTGCAGCATGATTCATATACATGATTTTGAGATTCCTGGACATAATAAAAGGGCCATGTGTGATGGGCTGGTACTCAAGTTTAATGGAGGTTTTAAGGTTTTTGCAGGGACCACTGCATGCTAATGCTGACTCGAATAGTGATTATAGCTAAGTATGATTTTTCTTCCCTATAGGCAGCAGTGCTTTCTGTTGGCATGTTATATCGTTACATTCAACATGTTTAAACAGGAAGGCTTCTTAGCTGTTTAACAGGGCTCCCTTAGTGCACTCTCTTTGAGCAGAAGCCACCTCTGTAACCCTTAGGATGGGCTAAAAATGTTTCTTTTCTCTGTTCCTTCCTGACCATATTCTCATATCCTGCTGGCAGCTAAGAATTGGACAGAGCTGCTGCAAGAAGCCCTCCTCTTGATACATCACACCTGCACCCACAAGTCTACAGCAAAGCAACTCAAGACGTTATCACCAATAACACGATCAACCTTACAACAGGAAGAGTGGATGCAAGAGAGGGTGTTTTCTGGGCTCTGCCAGAAGGATTTTTTGGCACCTTCCCTCTTCACATCACTAAACCTCTGATCCTCTCTATTACGTGGTTAATGAAGGGAGTGTTCCAGGCAGGGGCAGGAAAGCTGCTTGGCTCAGACCCTTTAGGAAGAAAATTATTAAGCTGAAATGCCTTGATGGCTGCGTTAGCTAATTCTTAAAAATGTTTACTGTCATTTCAAATGGCGTTGGTATGTTCTTAGCTCTTCTCTCAAAGTGATCTTGTGATATTGTCACACACCATCGGACTCTTGAATTTTTGTCTCCACATTGGTTTGCTGGATGACAGAAAGTCGGGACAATACATGAATATTGTATAGTAGGGGGGGAAGGAAAGATTAAAATCAATACTGGAAAAAATCCTTACTACAGCTGAACAATAGAAATTGCATGTAATTTTTGTGTGTGCTGTGTGGTCTGGCAGCCAAGTGAAAATAGAAGCATGATGGGCCTGGACTGCTCTGATAGCTCTGACTGTGTCCCCGTGCTGCTGGCAAGGTATCTGGTAATACAGAGCTGTACATGGAGATGCCTTGCAAGTGAACCTCCCTCCAGGTGTGTTTCTGCTCTATCAATACAGAGCCTGATTTATATATTTTTTTATTTCTTTATTTCTTTTTTTTTTCCTCCTTACTACAGCTGTACCAGGCAAGCCCAACAAGGGGAATAAACTTCCTCTTTTATTTCCCTCAGTATATCTCCGTATTTTCCCTGGCTCTCCATTATGCTGTCTTTACAGAAGTGAACTGGATACAAACAAAACTCTATGGCATTTAATGGAAGTAACTTGTCACAGGCACTTGTTTTTGCCACAACTTTGTCTCACCCAAACCTTCCTGATGTTCCACAGATTGGACCCAAAGAGTTCATACACACTCGTTCCACAGAAAATCTCTTCCTGCCAACTTTAGGTATGTTGTTTTCCATAGGTCTCTTTTCATGTGTTTTAAGGTGCGTATGTAACATGTAAAACCATGTATTTACTGGTTCACCTAAGTAAAGAGTATGTTTGATTTGCCTTTTAAGTATGTGAATGTTACAGAGATACAAATATATATTATTTTCCCCATTTTGCAGAGGGACATTGACATCAAAGGAAAGTCAGCCAGAGTTGTGTAATGTAGCTGGTAGAAAAAGAGAATTAAACCCAGATATCCTCAAACCCAAGATACCCTCTCATTTTCTTTTGTGAATGCTTCCTGCCATCCTGTGAAACCTAGTTATAGACTTTTAAAAAGTCCATGAATTCCTAACACACTCACATCAGAAATCTAAATTTTCATATGTAGTCTCCTTGTAAATGGAATTAAAAATAATTCACCCTCTATCTTTCTTCCTGAGTTTGAGGAGTTCTACACTCTCCGATTTAGCTACATCTTTTCCCCTCCATTACAGCATCAGTGAACACAAGAGCCTAAAAGAGCATCAGCCGGTGTTTCCAAGCTCCTCAGCTTGGGCTGTCAATGCCTGTTGGCCTGTGACGAGCCAGCTCTGCATATATCCGTGGTCACAGGAAATAGCACTACAAATGTGTGTCTGAGCAAATAAAGTGAAATCTGTTTTAAACATTTCAACGTATTAGCTTTACATGTGCAGCTTGTGGTGGATTTGAGACTATAAATAGTTTTGTCTTGTTCATTCCTCGTAATATTTGAAAATGCAGAGCAATATACTTCTCAGTAACACTTCCCTTACACCTACGCAATGTTTTATGTGTGATCTTGCCTTCTAGAGAGTTAGATAAAAATTGTTTCTGTGTGTTTTTGTTTTGGTTTTGTTTTGGTTTGGTTTTTTACCTTCTACCTTTTCAAGTGCATATTCTGCTCCGACCAAGGAAGGCACTGAATCTTCCCAACCTCCAGGTAACTTGCTTTCTTTCAAAATGCAATCTAAAAAATTAGTTTGTGCCTTTTCCTGATTTGCTTTCAAAATCTACTTATTTTGTGCTTTGATTTGCAACATGAACATTGTTGTATTTAGGAAAGACCTTGGAAACAGCAAGATCCTGAACTCTGAGCAACCTTTTTCATTCATTGCTTTCTCTTACTCCTTTGCGTCATAATTTTACTCCAGGCATGTGAAAGCTCAAGTCTGCCTGGTTCCTCTAGCAGGGGTGAGTACTGACTCACTAAGTAGCCCACCCCATCCTCTTCCTCCAAAAATGTAGATTCTGGGCTTTGGGATTTCAGCATCCTTTGCCAAACAAATTGGTGAGGAAACTTCTCTGCCAGAGAACTCTTTAGAGGTGTGTGTGCTTTTGTTTAAACAGTATTTTTCTTCTTGGATAAGTGAAAATCCTCCCTTCCCACTGTCCTAGGAGGTTTTAATGCAAGTTTGATCCATGCCTGGATGGTAGCTTGAGCTGATTTAGGTCAACCCCACATTACCGCTAGTAACTCTGTATTACTACCGCTAGCATTTCTGCAAGGCAAGTGTCTTTTGAGTGCCTGTTCTGTGTTACAAAGGAGAAGATGCATCTGCTTTCTTTGTGTTTATTGTGTTACACTTAAGCAAAAGGGCATATGGTTATTTGCAGTTAATTAGCTGATGATTTCACCACCTCTAATGAATACAAGAAAAAGCAATTAAATAGTTTTGAACTCAGTTACTGCTACGGTGCATTTCAGACCTTGTGAAAGGCTAGGAAGAGGGAAGTTCTGTAGAAGTCTTCCAGGGAGTTGAGCCTGCAACACTGTGCCCACAGGAGGAGAAAGAGCTCTGAGTTGGATGAATTTTAAGTAGTGTGGGAGGAGCCCAGGAGTATGTTCCCATTGCCCTCTCCCAAGCAAATTTCTGCAATGGGCACTATGAAACTACGTGCTGCAGATGTTCATCCCATGCCAGCGGAGACTGAGTGGTGACCGTGGGCCCTGAACGCCTCTCATACAACATTGCCACTCCCAGAGCTCTCTGAGACACCCTCATCTGAGACTGGAGAACTCTGCCAGGTTGCTCCAGATGGGACTTTCCCTGTGACTTTCTCAGAAGTTATTCTTTTCTATACTTAGAAAGCCCCTTCTACCCCACCACCACACACACAACGCTTTTAGTTCTTTAGTTCAAACAGGCTCTTTAGTCTTTCGGAACGTGATCTCTTCAAAGTCCCTGACATAGGAGATGCTTCTAAATAGTCTCCTGCTTCTAATAAGAATTGCTGGTTCCTCTCTGGGATGGTACGAGGAGAAAGTCACTCGGGATTAGCAAACTTAAAATTGACTCTATGGTCTTCAAGGACTTTTGCCAGAAGAACCCACCTGAGCACTCAAAGCATATCAGGATTAACTGCTTGGTTTTGATGTCTATGTATGGGGTTTTCATTTAATTGTAGAAACTCTGTTTGCTAAGGCAATTACTGACATTAATATCTATATTATATGTCTCTTTTTGTTGTTTTGTTTTTGACATTTTCTTTCTTCCAACTGTGGCTAGAGGACCAAAAGCGGCAAATCAGGCTTGGTGAGAAACATAAGAAGCGCAGAGGTGGCCTCCTCACCAGCCAGCTTCTTTGTAGATGTTGTTCAGGTGAGTGCAGATCTCATTAGTCACCTTCTCAAAGGACGCTTTGCAGTCTCCCCCAAATTTCTCCTCCATCAGTTGCAAGATGATGTCACAGATAATCTAAATGGGGAGAAGAGAAGAAACAAAAACTCTGAATTGTCTTTTACGTTAGATGTGTAAGAAAGTTGCATTTTTTAGTTTGGTTCCACATTTTTGAGGAAGGCAGAGGGGTACAAAGACAATTTAGCAGTATATGGCAGACAGAACTAGAAATAAGCCCCATTCTCATACCTTTGTAAAGTGGCATTTGCTACTGGTTGCGTTTTTGCATTTTGTAAAAGGCAGATGCAGGATACAAGTGCTGTCTGCTACTGTGACTTTGGGTGGGCTCGGGCAAGCGATTCAGTTCTGTATTTCTGCGTTTGTTCGGTGCTGGCAATGCTGCTGTTTGTCAGTGGCTGTTTCAGTTGTCCAGCAAAAGCTCAGTTCCTCTTACTAGAGGGAGATTGCCATCCTAGATTGAAGCTGGTGTAAGCTTTTTCTTTATATGTTGTTATCAGTTGACAAACAAATGCAAAACCTCTTGCTCTCAGAGTGAGAAAGCCACTACTGCACAGAGGCAGCCTTCAGCTCTGATCTGAGCAGGCAGAGCTGCATGTGCTGCAGAGCTTTGCCCTCAGCTGCCCTCAGGAGAAGGTCATGCCAATGAGGAAGCCGGATGAGAGCGACAGATTCAGCTTCTGAAAATAAATGTGTATAGTACTAAGATATATACATGTATGTGTGTGTATATGCATGCATGTACTGTACTATATATGGTATTACATGTATGTGTGTGTATATGCATGCAGGTACTGTACTATATATCACAGATCTTAGCTCTCATAAGAAGCCAGAAGAGGGTTTTGTCATAACAAGCCCTTTGCATATGTCAGATCTCTCATTTCTACTATCTTCCAACAGCTACTCTTTTTTTCCTGCTCTCTTCCCTCTCTCAAATATCAAAATACCTGTTTTCTCCCAGTTCTTCCCCTCCAAGGGAAGACGTCATCCCTTCACAACAATGACATCTCGGGGGAAGGTGGCTGCTGGCTCACCTTAAAGTTTTTGGGGTCAATCTTCAGCTGGGTGGCATGTTTCTTGCCCAGAGGGTTCAGTATCCCCAGAAAAGCTTCAGTGTTGTCCAAGTGTTGCACCATGTCATTGATGGCAGTAAAAACCTTCTTGCCGTGCCCCTTGACCTGATCCGACTGTTTCATCTCTTCAGCAGAGTCCATGCCCGTGAAGTGTGTGAAGTAGGACTTGGTGTCTGGGTGCTCTGTAAACATCCTGTTGGGTTGGCGAAAGAAATCAGGGCAAGAAATGAGAGACAGCATGAGTTCACAGGCTGAGGCATGTGTCTTCATGTTCCAGGCCTTGCTTATGTGTGTACTGACCTTTTTCCTTCTCTTTATAACAAACTCCTTCTCATGTGTATGCTTTTTTTCTTCTTTGCCCATCCTATTCTCAACTATGTGTGACCCCAGTCTACTCCCTTGCTGCTCCCCTGGGCTGTTGCTCAGTGCATCTTAAACCTGCTGGCTCTGCCCCTGGTCTGTTATTCACTGATGTGCTGGGAGGCTCCTTCACTTTCACCAACTTTCTTGATTTTTATTCCCAGCTGAGTTTCACTTCATAAGGACTTGTAACTAAGACTCCACAGCATAAGGTCTGTGAGCACCTGAAACTGTTATCTGCCTGAGAAAGGCTGAATCTCATTTTTTTCCCAGTGTTGCTAAAGTAAAAACTTTTTCAGGCTTGACTTAGTGCTACGTGGAGACAAAATCCCCGGGGAAATGGTCACAATGATGTTCTAGAGAGCAGATGATTCTGCCTTGCTCCCAGTGGACATTTTCAGAGAGAAACCCTGCTCCCAGCTTTGTTAGTTAACCCCTTCTCCCATCTTATTGCCTACGAAGGGTTATTGTGTGAGTACTAGGTACTGCAGTACTGCTCTTTTCATTTATAGAAAAGATAACATGATTTTATGCCATTAGTAAAGCAATTTTTATAATCCATCAGAGTCATCTTGGTCTGGTTATTAAAAAAGCATGAGTTTCCTTAAATGGATGAACTAATTATCCACCTCAAAGACCAATAGCATATTCCAAATTTCATTGCTAGAGAAGAAGAGCTTAAGATCCAAAGGCCCATGCACTATTACAGTTTATAACACAGAAACAGAGCAGGCAGTGACTATTGCAATTGTAATGCTGCCAGTGGCCAAGAGGTGAGGTTTTGTTGGTATCCGCTATAGAAATTTTTGTCTTTTGCATCATTTTCAACTTTCATATCACTTCATAAGGAAAGGTAATTTTCCACAAATTAAAGCCTCACAGATGTAGGATGGGATCTTAGTCTGAAATGCAAGTTTGAGGGTTCTGAGTTGCTCTTATCACAGGCCTGGTTGATGCATATGGACATGATGTAAATCCCAGCTGAGAGAGGAATATGTGCAAGGTGAATCGAGAAAAACTTGTGTCTTATGGAAGGAGAGAGAAAACAGTGTAAAAAAATAGAAGTTACAGCATAGAGAAAGGTGATCCGTAGACTGAAAATTTGATGGAGAAGCCAAAGGGAAATATCAAGGATATAAAAGTAAAAATTTTAAAAAAAAGAGCTGAGGCAAAAGAAAAGAGGGATATAGGACCTTGTTTTGTTCCTGTACTCTTTTATACGATACCTTCTTGTCTTTATCTTGACTACATCCCTTTTTGGAGAGGCAAGGGAAGGGAATGTTGAGGAGATTATCCTAGTCTTTTCTTCCTTTCCCAACCACTTTCTCCCGTTCCTCCTACTGCTCTTCTCTGTAGGAGTCTATCTCGTCTTTGTTTCCTTCCTGAGGTGGGTTGACCACAGCAAAATGTAACGTTCCCAGAAAGGACTATATGAAGTGCATCAAGATGTGTTTCTAGGCAGCAGCTCCAGCTCTTCCTCCTTGACACTTCTTGTTGAAACCTCTCGGCTAGCAGTGGGATGGGATTTTTCCTTACCTGACCAGCACAGCTGTCCCGTTGTCTTCAGCATCAACGTATATCTTCTCCCAGGCCCCACGGGCGCTTTGCACTTCTGCTTCAGAAAATGACATGGTGGAGTAGATGGTGGCAATAAAGAGCCCAAAAGGAGGAAGAGTAGGGAGGTATTGGGAGAGTGGTTCTGCCCCAGTTCTGTGCTCCATGGCTCTCTAAATACTGCCTTGGGGATTTAAGAGGTCTTGAATGGGCTCTTTGTTTCTGTTCTAGTCCCTTGCATTTCTGTGGGCTTTAGAGCTGCTTAATCACTTTTAATCAGGAAAGAAAGTAACCACATGAGGAAGGAGGAATAGCTCTCTTGGTGTCAGGTGCCAGAGCAAAAATATTGTTGTCCAAGGAGAGAAGGCGGGGAGAAATAAAGAGGGTTTTGAGTGAGGAAGAAAAGGGTTGACTCTCCTTCCCTCTTGCCCTTTCCCCTGACCCTTGTTTGCCTTCACTTGCCAGACTGCAGTCCTTGCCTGAGCGCTGATTCCCTGGCTTGCTCCTGAGAGCATTGCTCTGCTCTAGGCACAAAGCTGCACTGCCATTGGATCCTCCCAGTGCTCCTTGATCCTTAAATCTAACGATCCCTTTTTCAGCTGTCAGTTCATTTCGTACATCACATACTGCTCTCTTTATAGCTCTCTGGGTTGCCTGAGGCCATGCATTTCTATGCATTTCTACTGCTGCAGGTGTTGGTAGCAGGTGGTTGGGACCCCTCACCAGTGCAGAATGATATTGCACTGCGGACAGAGGCTACAGCCCGGGCAAAGCATCCATGGGCAGCAGGCTGCCCCATCCTGCTAGGGCAAGAGTTCTTGCTCTCAGGCCAAGCCCCAGCAGTGAAAGAACCACGTCGTTTAACACATCAGAAGAACTAGCACAGAGTATCGGGGCCTGGCGTGTATTCATTTCTGCGCTTTTGATACCCTAGTTCTCCTGGTTTGCAGCTATGATCTCTTTCCTCTTGCCAAAGAATGTGGTTGGTGCAGAGAAAGAGATAAAGGACAGGAAAGTAGCTAGCATGGAGCTGCAGCCATGGAGAGTGACTTGTTATTTTCACGGTCACTTGGAATGGGAGGGAAGAAAAGCAAAGCTTAGATTATCCGTGCGGCGCCTTAGTTTCAGCTCTGGCAGGAATGTTCCGATTAAGTGCAGGGTGCAGATGCAAAATAATTGCTCGGGGGCTTGCTGAACTGTTACTGCCGGACGCCAGGCAGAGACAAAACCTCTTGTTGGGGATGGCTATAAGCAGAACAGGCACAAGGCAGACGCATCTACTGCCACCCAGTGAGCAAAGCCAGGCTGATACTGCAGGCAGAAGCAAGGGGGTTGTTCTGAGCACACACAAACCGATCAGTCTTAGCAGCGATGTGTCCCGGCACTGCTGTGCTGGATATGCTTAAATGTTGAGAAAGTTAATGATGCTCGACACAAACGTGCATGCAACACCAAAGGCCCTTGCAGTGTATCTCTAGACTTGTGCTTTCCTAGATGCTCTCTCTCCTGATAGAGGTAAGAGCCATCTCACTGTGGTCTTTATAAATCCATAGCAACCCAGCTATGGAGCAGAAGTGGAAGTTCATTCCAGCTGCACCTTGGAACATCTACATTGGTCTTCCAAACTGTGAGGCAAAGGCATCTTGCTGCACTGTGCATCCTTGTTGGGGCACTGTGCATATTCTGTGTGAAATTAAGGGGAGGGTGCGGTTTGGGGGACCATGTATAGTCATAATTTGTGTTTCTGCAGTGCAAGACCGCATGTTGCCTTAAATGACCTCGTAGAAACTACATATCCCCCCCCTCCGCCTGAACCAAACAAAGAATAGTCTCATGCAAAGCTGCCCAAACTTCTGCTTTCTAATGCAAAAATCCTCAGAAAAATGTCCCAGATTTCAGGAAGGCTCTGGGAGGGCAGGATGGGGAAACTATGCTGTTGGGGCCACTGCACCTTTGAAGGCAAGCACAAAACAGGGGAATTCTGATCAGCTGAGCTCAGCACCTACCACAGACTCCCTCAGAGGAGGGAGCAAAGACAAAATTGCATGAACTGGTGGGTTTGGGCCATTAGGATCTATAATTCCCTGGTAGGAGTTGGATGGGGAAACTGCAATGGTTTGGGATGAGAGCAGAGTATGTGTTGCAGGCAGCCTGAAAGGGAGGGAGCTCCTGGAGAAGGAGAGCAGCATTGAGTATTGTCCAGACCACAGAGACAGAGCTAATTCTCATTTCAAATGTGGAGTTGCAACTTTTCTTCTCTGTAGATGTTGTGTTCTTCTCTTAAATTGATGGACATCCTGACTTGCTGTGGGCACTTCTTGTGGGAGGAATGAGAGTAGTGATGAGCCCTGCTGTTCTGATGAGGGACAAATGCTGGTTGGGAAGAGCTTGTGATCATGGCTACATCTGGAAAGAACTGCAGTACCAACGGATGTTGCTCAAGAGCGCATCTTTCTCCTTAACTTTATTTTTCTTTTCTTCTTCATCTGCATTGTTATCTGTTTCTTTCTCTTCACATCTGTATGCAGTGCTTCAGAAACAAACCTCAAATTCACTGGGGGACTTCTTAGCTCCTCTCCCTTACCTCTCCCTTGGGTCATTTCATTGCAAAGGTAATGAATTCACTTGTTATTTTGCCAGCTTTTCCTACAGAGAAAACAAGCAATGATTTCATCAAGCATGTTATTGTGCTCTCAGTGACGAGCCTTAATAGGCTTTCCTTGTATCCCTTCAGTGTTATTTTTACCACTGTGTAAAATTATTTTTTCTTTTCTCCATGCACATTTTGCCAATTTCTTGTGAAATGAATCCAATAATCCCTCATAAAATGTTGACCTCCCCAGTAGGGTTATGCATGTCTGTATCACATCTCAGGGATCTCTAGTGACTAAAGAAAACTCTAGAAGGCCATTCTTTTGTCCTTAAAACGCATAGCTGTAAACGTTTTTCTGTTTAATCATAAAGTCTTCATGATTTTGTTGTCCCACATTAAATCATCTTTGGGGGAAAGGACGCAATCTTTTTTATTTCTTTTTTCTCTCCTGTATTCTGTTCTGTTTAATAATCTGTATGTTGAAGGAAATAATTAAAATGTAATTGCTGCTGAATATGGAAAAATGTTTTCTAAAGAAGGGTGCCAGATAGAGTTGTAGATATAGCCTCAAGAGTGGATGGGAACCTCATTACTGCTGGATGGACAAATCTGGAATTGGATAGACCCCTGGGAAATAAAGGGTAAAGAGCAAAGCTGTGTTAGCTTGGCCAGAGCAAGATGTCTGTGTTTTTTTCTACCCCTGACTCCTTCCAATTAAGCATGTGACAGACTTCTTAATACAGCATAGGGGAATAACTGCAATTCTGAAAAATCTTTGTTCCCTTTCAGTTAATGAGGAAATCGTCTGGTTTATACAAGTCAGTGTGACAGTGGGGCACAGCACCTGTACACAGGCGCTATAAACAGCCAAGCATCAAAAGAAAAACTAGCCCTGCAGTGAGAAGCATCTTCTAGTCTCCTCAGCATTATTCTCATTGGTATTTCAGACGTGTTTGGTGTACATGTCTAAAGGACCAACAAGGTGCAAATGTCACATGGAAAACCTGTCTCCAGCAGCCCGCTGCCGTGGTCACTGCTGCTGGAAGCACCCAGCTGCCTGCGGAGCCGGGAAGCAGGTCCCTGCTCAGGCAAAGGAAGCAGAGGAGCTTCCCTTTCCCCGCAGTCAGAAACCCGGCCCCAGCACTGGGAGGGAAATGGTGCTGCTGCTGCTGCTCTTTTGCACCATTAATTCACTGGGAGATGGACTGTGAGATCTAATTCTAGGGCAGCTGTGCAACTGTGAGAACTTGCACTAAGTGAATAGACTTTTCAAAGTGGAGCTTATTCATTTTAGGAAGAGCTTTTGTGCAATAGCGAATAATTCCTGGCTTCTTCCTCCAATTTTTTTGCCCAATAACTCCTACTTTCCTGACATCCCTGTGTCCTTTCAGACTGAGGTTAAAGCCTCAGTAAATCACAGGTATTGCCAAGTTTCTTCGAGGTGACAAGGACCTGTATCTGCTCCACGCTCAGTACTTGAGAATATCAAGCATTGCTAGTCACTCAGCACAAAAAATCATGAGCTGCTGTCAGGCTGTTGGTCTCAATGTCCTGAATGCAGGACACGAGTAGGAAAGAACCGGGGCTAGAAAAGACAGATTTCCCAGTTGCAATCACACCCCACTTCTCTCTTCCTTTGAGAGAGCAGTAGAGGACTCAGACGGCGCCATGTTGCACTTCATATGGTAAAAGTGCAAATTCCAAAGAATAAGAATAAGAAGGAATGGTCAGCTTCCAAAATCACATTTTTTCTTTCTAGCACTTGAAACTGGCTTAGTCTGGGAGGCAAAGGATGGCTAGTTCAAGAGCAAGACCAAAAACAGCTGTGTGGAGGGTGCAACTTGTGTGTCTTTTCTTGGCTTCTCACCATCCTGGCTGGCCCCCATATAGATTACAAGAGAAGTGCCATCCAACACAGTAGAAATGTACTAAATCTTCTGCTGTGAATTATTTTTATTACATGCAAGTTAAGGCTTTATATGCTAAAACAAATGCAATGTTGCATTCAAAGCAATTCAGCAGCTGTAAATCACAGAGTGTGTGTGTATAGATTTAGCCTCTGCTTTAATATCCAGCAGCATTAAGTACATTGATAGCAGTAATTCTAACACAGTCATTAAAGCTAATACAGATTCCAGCACTGAATTTCAGTCCAACGTATCCAGCTAAGCATTTGGATGGTTCAGTGAGGAATCACTACACTCCTAGCACGGAAGTAGAAAAAAAATAAACATTTTAAGGGGTGATTAGATGGTGAATCTGTTCTGATGTGGACTCAACATTTGCTTATGCAAAATCCTCTTGAAGCTAGCAGGGCTCATGGGTATAGGAATTTGCAGGACTCAATCAGACTGCAGGATTGCAGCTTTTTTCTTGTTAATTCATGGCAGCCAGACTGTACTGGACCCGTTCACAGGAGCTCTCAGCCAAAGGCAAAGGAGCTTTTATGGACTTGGAAATCATCAAACCCCAGTCAGAGATGTAGGAAGTAACCACAACTGGACAGGGACTCAGGCAGGTGCCCAAGCATTATTCTGATCAGTAATGTTACAATCTAACATCAACATCAGCTCAGTTAACTCAGCCAAATCACCCCATAGTTCAAGGCAAAAACAGCATTCCCAGTTTCGGATGCAAGCCACCAAACTGTATTGAGTTCCACCTTTGACTGAGACAATTTAATTTGTTAGATATACACGATTTATTTGTAAGCCATGTTCTGAAAAAAAACATGTATCTGTTGAATGTCACCGCTGGCAGAGTTAAACCTGCCCTCCAGATAAGGAGATACAGAGGATGTGGCTGAAAGAAGGCAGTGAGCTAGAAGAAATATGTATGGGTTGGTATATGAAGCTAGACACCAGTCCAGAAGTTTTATAACAGATATGGGCAGGCTACAGGTGCTTTTACTAGTGATATGAACTACCATGTTCAGAGATGCAAAAAGAATAAGCTAAAATGGGAAGCAATAAGACAGCAGACAAACTTATTCTCATGAACAGCAGATAGTAGGATGATGGACTGAAAGGGTGGTTGGTGAGGCCGGAATGGAAGGAACCAGGGAATCACACCAGTAAACTGTTTACTTGTGTGAGCGAAAGCCTGGATGCTGCACTTTATGGTCCATCTGGTATTTCTGTTGTAGTAGTTGGTGCCTCCCATTTGAGCCATTCCATCTCTTGAGTTATTGTCCCTGCTGCTCTGTAAACTGAATATTTACATAGATAAAAAATCTATCATAACTGTCTGACTTTGTTTGGAAGTAATGTCGGTACCTGTGGCCTTAAATTCAGTGAGCCCAAATTTAATCTCCAATTTGAGTTGACGCTTCCTCCCTAGCTTTGTGTCTGGCATTGGAACAGTGCAAGAGCCAAGCAGTTCCATCCCTTCCTCATCTACATACTGAGCATCCCCTTTTTCTGTGCAATAGAAAGAAAAGCATGCATTTGTCTGATCTGGTTCGACTGGATAGAAAGTATAGTGTGCAACTTCATTTATATTCACCGACTGCTCAATTCCCACCAATTTCTCAAAGACATCGTCACAATAAATATAGTCTTCAGATTTGGAGATTCTGAGTCTCCATAAATCATGGATTTCAGGATCAAAGTTCTGAGTTACTGCTACACCGTATGTCCGAGCACTGATTCTTGAGGCAACAATCTGTGGATTGACTCCAAATAAAACAGCCCCTTTTGCAATGGCTATTTGGGCCTCTATCGGACAAAGGATATGATACTTTTTGCTGAAGGTCTGATATATCTCATCCCTCAGGATGATGCTAGATGCAAAGCCTCCCACAAGCAAAATATACTGGACATTGGACATATCAGGCTTGTGAAGGATTTCCTTCAAAGCATCAATGATTTTTTTGGTGCTGTAGGCAAAAAAGCTCTTCATTTTCTCATATGTGATCATGATCGTCCCATTATTCCACATAGCTCCATCTACTTTTTCGAAGAAACAGTGAATGTCCTTCTTGCACTCTGCCAGTCTGGTCAAGTTGTAGTAGCAACGTAGGTAGACCTCTTCCCTACTAGTAGAGCATTTTTGTAGACTAAAGTTGTACATCATTTGTTGTAATTCTGCAGGGTGACTCTTTACATATTCATCCCATAAATCATCACCAAATATTTCCTTGAGAAAAGCACTGAAGTTTTCATCCACTGTGTTGCCTCCCCATCCACCTCCAGATGCCTTGTGTAACTCTGTAAGGTAATGGTCTTCTTTTATCTCATGTACTGTGATGTCTATTGTGCCACCTAGACGCACACACAGACAAATGCAGTTAGCTGTTAGAAAACTGGTAAACTACACAAGACTGTTAAATTACATTAAATATATTAAATTACATGGAGGCAATATGTTTCACTGAATGTAGTCTTACTTTCTAAACTCCTAGTTCCCAAATGTGCTTTTCTGCTGCATTTTTTCCCTCATCCTCGCTCCTCCCCTCTTGTCTGTATGCTTTCAGATTTGCTAAAGTTAATCCCTTTTGCTTACAAGCCTAGTTTCTTAAGGCCACTGTGATGAAGGAATTACTGATGAGCTGGATGCTCTGACTTGCTCTGATCTCCTTTCTGGTTATGAATTGAGAGCAGCCTCCTCACTTAGTTAACTCATGACTTTTGATATGTAAACTATGAATTAAGGTGAACTATAGTATTTGGGCTATGAGAAAATGGTGCTTTTCTTGATCCCCGATCAATAGTTTTTCAGGACCATTAGACTGCTGTTGTCAGGAAACTGAAATATTAAACAAACACACACAAAAACAACCTCCCACAAGAAACCAAAGAAATTGCTAAGAAGTATTCCATCGAATATTCTTGACAATTTACAGTATAAGGCCTCCTAGATAATCTCTTTGATCCATTCACTGGCAATACTATTGCTCCTAGGGAGGGGGATGTAAATTCAAACTACACAGCAGCACATGGGTGTATTTTGGAGGCTGCCATGGAGACATGAGGCAGGTTGGCCGGCAGCCTGGCAGGAGATCCTGCTGCGACTGTTGACCTGAAGACACAAGGGCTTCTCTTTGCCTTTGATCAAGTCTTTACCAGTCCTATTTGTTCCTCCTCATTTCTGTCTCTTCCATGGATCCTTGTTAAGTGAGAAATGAAACAAAAAAGATCTTAGACAAGCAGAGCAGAGAAAACCCAGGTTTTCAAACCTCTTTTCTTTGGGGCTATGTCAGATACTACAGAACTCAGCATAAAGCAAACATGATACCTGTTGAACAGGAAAAAATATTACCTCCACAGTCAACAACAATATACTGGATCCCTGGGGAGTCTTCAAACTTTTCATTGTCACTGCTGTCTACCATAAACCCTTCCCGTGGAAGCTGTTTGCACCAGAGCGATGCAGCCTCTGGTTCCAGGGCAATAATCAGCTTCTCAGAAAGCATGTCAGAGATGAGTCCTGCCTAAAAAAAATGAGAGAGGTGTCAGTTCAGGAATGGTAGCAGGATTGCGACTCCCTTGTTGCTACATGAAAACCATGGGCTAGTGGAGCTATTCTCATTGCAAGAACAGCCATGCAATAGTAATAGCTTCACAGAGGGGCTGAGCTTGGAAGGAACCTCTGGAGATCATCTAGTCCAAACCTCCGCTCAAGCAGGGTCACTTCTAAGCTGACCTGGCATGTTGCATGGATTGCCAGGACATGTTTTCCTCGACCCGTTCAGATGGCTTTTGAATATCTCCAGAGAAGTAGACTCCACAACCGCTCTGGGCAACCTGTATCAGTGCTCTGTTACCCTCAGAGTAAAAGAAGTTTTTCCTCATGCTCTGATGGAACTTCCTATGTTTCAGTTTGTGCCTGTTGCCTCTTGTCCTGTCACTGGGCACCACAGAGTAGAGCTTGGCCCTATCCTCCTTACACCCTCCATTCATGTATTTATACACATTGGTAAGATTCCTCCTCAGTATTCTCTTCACCAGGTTGAAGAATTCCAGCTCTTTCAGCCTTTCCTCATATCAGAGATGCTCCAGTCCTTTAAGCATCTTAATATCCCTTTGCTGGACTTGCTTCAGGAGCTCCTTTTCTCTCTTGTATTGGGGATCCCAGAATTGGACAGTACTCCAGATGTGGCCTCACCAGGACTGAGTAGAGGGCAAGGATCACCTCTCTTGACCTGCAGGCAATGGTCTTCCTGATGCAGTCCAGGATACCATTGCCTTTTGGACACAAGCGCACATTGCCGGCTTGCAGTTAATTTGTTGTTTACCAGGACCACCAGGTCCTTCTCCTCAGAGCTGCTTTCCCACACATCAACCCCATTCTTGCATCACTGACCTCTGTGGGCTTCATTTCTACCTGGCAGGGGAAAGTAGAGAGTGATTGTGACTGCCAGTTTGGAGTCCCCCTTCCTGGCATGGGAAATTCCTCTCTCCGATAGACTGAAAATTAAAATACAGGTTGTTTAAATGTTGAAGATTTCCCTTACCTGGATGGGCAAAGAATTATCTGGAGATAATTTAAGGAAATGGGGTAAGCTCTGCTTTTACCTGCTTCGCTGCCAGCCGCATGAACTGCTTGGCAGCAGCATTCCATATGGCTGGGACAGTAATGACCCAGGTGACCTCGCTGTGGCCACAGACAGTTTGGAAAGAGGCACTCTCGATGTTGTTCAAGGCATGTTCCATCATGTAACGGAGGCTTTCGGAAAAGACTTTGAGGGCAGGAAGTTTCTTTCCATTGCTTGCTACCAGCTCCATGTCAGAAGTGACTTTCTAAAAATAAGATAAAACAGTAAAAACATCACAGGGTTGCAAGTGGCAGCTTAGTAATAGACCTGTCCCCTTTACTATAAGGGCTGCACAAAATATAGCACAGAATTAGATTTTTTGGGGGGGGAGCAAATCTGAATAAATACCCAGAAATGGCTTTGATATGCGGCTAAGTGCATTCTAATCAATACAGATCAGCTACCTAACCACCTACCCACAACATGTATGAATCAATAGACAAAATATTAATGTGATTAATAAGGCAATTGTTTTACTTGGGCAAAATTTTATAAACACCTCATAGACTCTCCTGAAACAGCACTGGGAAGAGTTGCACCATGTGATACCACCATGCATTGCCCAACTGTATGTATACAGACCTCAGAGCTTGCTGGTTGCTCCTGTACTTCTGTGTATGGAGTTAGCAAAATATATACTGGCCACATGCATAAACAAATATCCCTTTGGCGTGACACAGGCAATTCCTCTATAATATGTCCTCTTGATTTGGAGCTACGTGTATCCTTGAGTAGTTTGAAGCTTGAAGCAGACAACTACTCTGAGATATTTTCATCTCTCCCAGCAGTCCAAAATTCCCTCTGTCGGTCCCTGGTTGCCTGCTCTATCTAGCAAGAGCGGAAATTGTTGTCTGTATCCAAAGGCATTTGGGCAGCCAGCCTCTGCTGCATGTACTTCACTTTGTTCTACCTCGGCATCCATCAAAGATGGCCCTAAATCACATCAAGGAGCATTTGCTTCATCATCATCTCCATCAGCCTGGGCTCCTTTATGGCCAATAGAGAGAAATAGGCAGCTGCACAGGCTGCCCAGCTGTGACAATGTCCTCCATAGATATTTTCTGTGGAGTTCATAAGTGACTAGTGACACGTCTAAGGAATGCTGTTCCCTTTTCTGTCTCTGAGCCCTTTTAATACAGTTTCTCTGAACATTTGGTGAATAAAACCTCTCCCCAGATGCCCCCTCCACTCCAAAACCTCTCGACAGAGATGCTGTGGCAGGCCACCTCTTTCCCAACTTTCCTGGAGACAGAAGACTTCACAGAGGACGTCTACCCAGGACCTCACCCACCTCCCATTCAAAACTATGCGCTTAGCACTGCAGGATGCTGAATAGCAGATATGGGAACTTTTGTGGGCCTAATCCTGCACTGTGGTCTAGTCCATGTTTTTGCAGAAAATCTCGCAGTCAAGAACTGAATGTCCAAAAAAGACACAGAGGAGTCCTAAAATTTAATTTGAATAAATGAAAAATTCAGTGGGCAATCCCTGTGGGGTCTCTCAAATTGCTGGAGGATGCAGCCCCTTTTATCTTAATTTCTTGACCAAGGGAGGCCCTCTCCTTTTCCTCATTGGCCAAGGTACTGAGAAGTTACTGACTTCCCAGCCCGCCTCCGAACTCCCTGCCTCCTTCCTCCTGTTCTTGCCTGAGGTCACCTGACTCCTTTGTCCCCCTTGCCAAAGAATGGGGAGCAATTTCCTTCTCGGCATATGCTCTTTTGTTCCACTCACTCATGGCTTCACTCAGGCTCGGCCCTGCATATATTCCTTTGTCCCACTCATCAGCCAAAGAATGTGGAACCTCCTTATTTGTGAAGACACAAACTTGAGTGTTCCGCTCTATTCCATGTTGTCAAGCACATTTCTAGTAGAAAGCAAAGCATAGTGCAAAAACTCCAGGTGGACAAACACCCATGCAGAGAGTGTTCAATGTAAAAGGAAAAAAGAAAAAAAAATGAGTCAAGTGAATTGGTAAAAGTAGGTGGTGACATCAAGGAAAAGTTAACTTCAACGGGCAAAAAAATGGAAATTGTGGGAGGCTTAAGAGAGGTCCTGCAAGATCGTGAGCACAGACAAGCAGACCCTAAGATAGCATGTCTGCTTGAAAGAACCAAACCATGAAAAGCTGTGAACAACTCTGATCTAGCGCAGCACCGCCGAAGAAAAGCGGTGGCCCCTACATCTTTGACCACTGAGCTCTGAAATCACCTTCAGCACATAGACTGAGGGGCAGGAGAGACAGGCCAAGGAGAAGTGCGCAGTAAGAGAGCCCTTCTTGTGAGGCTGAGGCTGCCGAGCTACTCCAAACTGCAGGCAAATTGATTCATTCCCTGTAACAGACCAGGGCAAGGAGTCCCAAAGGAGTCTCCTCTGGATTTCTCTGCTAAGACCCAGATCACAGTAGCTGTTGTTAAAGAAGACTGCTTGGGTTCTCTGAGGAGAGCTGTCAGGTTTGATAAATTTTGGACAATGAACTGTGGCATAAAGGAAAGGCTAAAGAAGACTTTGCCTTATCAAGAATGTTAGCAGCAGCAGCTCTACATACCCTGTCGTACAAATTCATCTTGAAGTTCTGGAAGAAGTACCACTTCTGAGCTTCACTGGAAGGCAGGCTCTTGTACTTCATCACAGCATCATAGCCAAATTTGCTGAACTCCTGCTTCTCGTTGAACAGGATGCATGTGGGCGTCTTTGGGGTCATTAAACCATGCTCTGCCCCCCAGAACACCTGGCGGATTTGGGATGCCCCTGAAGCAAGGGAAAAGCAGTATCCGCTGTAGGAGGTGCCAAAATCTATAGCAATGACAAAGAGTGATGTGCTGGCCATTGCAGAGTGCTGCCCGGAGGGGCACAAACGGCTTGCTGCAGAGCAGTGCTAAAAGTGAAACTGCTCCAATGGATCTTGTGAAGTGCAAGCAACCCTTTGCAATTTATTGGTGGGGGGGGCATGCAAATGAGTGCAATGAAAGGAGAGGGTGTCTTTTGCCATGACAAGGAAGGGCTTGTTAACGCCCTTTACGGCAGAAATGACTTTGTCACCTGCTTTCTGAGAGCAAGAAAGTGCCCAACACTTGCCGGAGTTGCAGGGGCTCCTGTGAGCCTGAATCATCTTCTCCCTTCTCCCTTCTGCTGCCACTCATCAGGGCAAACATGTTCTGTAATCACAGCCACGCGGACAAACCTCAGCTTTCTTCCTGCAGCAAAGCTTTGGCGATTGCAGCATCGTGTTTGCATGCTCACCCTCAAGAGTGGGCTCCAGCAGGAGACAGCAGGTATGTTGCATGCGGGGTCTTTGGCTAAGTGGAGCAAGTTTCGCCTCAGGGCCCACCTTGTGGATAAATAGTTCTGCAAGGGCCTACTGCGTCCTTTGGGGGTTGCAAGGAGGCCCTGAAATGTTTCCTGCCTGTGACACTTGTCAGCAAAGCTGTGTTCCCTGCTTACTGCCCTGCGCAACCCCGTGCTGGAGTCACAGGGCCAGTCTGTGCCCTTCGATCCATCCAATGCAGGTTCTAAGTTTGAGTCAGCTCTTAAACGGCTGCAAGTGGAGAAGAGGGTGGAAAGATGAACCTAAACCATGTGGCAGATCCCAGAGAGCAGGGCTTTGGGGTCAAAGTCTCTGAGCCCCCTCACTTATGGAAAACCTGCAGTGGTCCAGATTTGACATGGAATTGTGGAGCTCAGCAGAGAAAGTGGGTATTCAGCAAAAGCCTTGGGTTGGAAGAAGCTCATGGTGGTGCAAGAGTTTCTTTGCTCATTGTACCAACGTCCTCTTTTTTCTACAGAACAGTTGCCAACCAGTGGCAAACAGAGGTTGACAGAGGCAAGAGCGAGATTTCAAACCAGAGTACTCCAAATGCTGACCAGGAAGAGAAGCCCATGGAGGTGGAAAGACAAGCGGGGTGAGTCTCATTTGGGGGAACAGAAATTACATGGTCTGGGGCTTTCTTTAGCCCCCTTCAGGTGGGCCAATGGTCTTTCCAGGTTGACAGTGTTTCAGCAGATAATGTGATCCTTTGTGAGGAAAAAGTATACAGATCATAATTTTTTCTGGGCCTGACACTGGCTCATGTTTAAAACTATTCTGAGACCTGCCCTCCTGTGGGTTAGGCAAGCCCTGAGGAAAGATACGATGGTGTCTGGTTTTCCTGTGAGAAGGAGGGAAAGATTTAAGCAGGAAGACGGGAAAAGAAACAGTAGCCTGTCACTTCAATGTGCATGCAGAGGGCATTTGTTTGTTGTCAAGGATTGGAGGAATCCCATTCTCTCCGTTCTGCCATGTCCTTTCTGCGTGCCTCCTCCCCAGCTCCCTTGGATTTTTGACCTTCTCACTCTCTTCCTCTTCCCGGACTGCAAGTACTTCACAGCACAAGCTGCCTTTGAAGCCCCATGCCTAGGCATTCTCTAGAGAAATGGGTATTTCCTCCACACACACAGGTTAGCTTTTCTCTTTTAAAAGGGACCCGGCTATACGGTGGCAATTTCAGCAAAACAGCCCCCTGCATCGATCGTTTCCCAATCCCATTCCACACACTGCAGTTCTGAGCTGAGTTTGCATTCGAGGGGCTTCTCCCTGTGCGCCCCCCTCCTTCATCTAGCCCGAACAACTGCTCAAATCTTCTGCCAGTTCCTGGCCAGCCCTGGACTATGGTGTCCTCTGAGCCGTGTCAGGCATCACCTGGCAGAATGCTAGCTCACATGTGCCATAATGTGTTCCTGGCATGTGCTGGGCCCACTTTCCCTGTTAGGGCTCTGCTTTGGTCACGAGTGTAGAGGCAGCTTTGTGGCCTCTGCTCAGGCGCTGTCTCATAGAAACCAGCTCTTGGCAGTACCAGGGTTTCTTCCCTCACTGTACCAAGACTCATCTCTCTTTTTTTTTTTTTTTTTCCTCCCCACAGACCAGCTGCCAGGCAGGGGCAGCCAGGGATCTATGGAGGCCATAGCGAGTTTTCATGTCAGAATCCCCCCAGCAGGCAGAAAGGCCAATAGAGGTGGAAAAAGAAGCGGGGTGAGTCTGGTCTGGGGACCAGAAATAACATTGCCTGGGGCTTTCTGTAATCTCCGTCTGGTGCACCGAAGGGCTTTTCAGACTTTTCATTCTTGGGGGTGTTTCAGCAGATAATCTGATCTGTTGTGGGAAGAAGGTATATAAAACATAGATGTTTCTGGTCCTGACACTGAATTGCGTTTAAAACTATTGTGAGACCTGACCTCTTGTGAACTATGCAAGCCCTGAGAGAAGGTATGATGGTGGCTGGGATTCCTGTGAGAAGGAGGGAGAGTGTTAATCAGAAGGAAGGGAAAAAGGAATAGGCTGGCCCCAAGATGTGCGGTGGGACCTTTTCCCATGACAAGAAGAGTTTGTTGATGCTCTTTATAGCAGAAATGACTTTGTCGCCTGCTTTCTGAGAGCGAGAAAGTGCCCAACACTTGCCGGAGTTGCCGGGGCTCCTGTGAACCTGAATCATCTTCTCCCTTCTGCTGTCACCCATCAGGGCAAACATGTTCTGTAATCACAGCCACGCGGACAAACCTCAGCTTTCTTCCTGCAGCAAAGCTTTGGCGAGTGCAGCATTGTGTTTGCATGCTCACCCTCAAGAGTGGGCAGGAGACAGCAGGTATGTTGCATGCGGGGTCTTTGGCTAAGTAGAGCAAGTTTCACCTCAGGGCCCACCTTGTGGAGAAATGGTTCTGCAAGGGCCTACGGCATCCTTTGGGGGTTGCAAGGAGGCCCTGAAATGTTTCCTGCCTGTGACACTTGTCAGCAAAGCTGTGTTCCCTGCTTACTGCCCTGCGCAGCCCCATGCCGGAGTCACAGGGCCAGTCTGTGCCCTTCAATCCATCCAATGCAGGTTCTAAGTTTGAGTCAGCTCTTAAATGCCTGCAAGTGGAGAAGAGGGTGGAAAGATGAACCTAAACCGTGTAGCAGATCCCAGAGAGAAGGGCTTTGGGGTCAAGGTCTCTGAGCCCTTTCACTTTGAGGGGAAAGGCTGACTTACTCCAGGTTTTATACGTGTTATTGAGCTCAGCAGATTAAGTTTGTCCTAAGTGAAAGCCTTGAGATGGAAGCAGCCAAGTTTCTTCCCTCACTATTGCAATTCCCTTTTTTTTATTTTCCACTAAAGACCATCTGGCAGTCACTGGCAACAAGACGTCTATGGAGGCTTTCATATGAGGCATTCATACCTGAATACTGCAAACACTGATCATGCTGAAAGGCACATGGAGATGTTGGAAAAAGCGGGGTGAGTCTAGTTTTGACAAGTGTATTCAAAAGATGGAAAAAAAGCCATAAATATTTCTAGGCCTGACACTGAATTGTATTTAAAACCATCGTGAGACCTGCCCTCTTATGGTCTAGGCCAGCTCCCATGGCTATATATGATAGTGGCATTTTTTCTGTGAGAAGGGGGGAAGGAGTTATTCATGAGGAGAGGAAAATAAATGATAGTTTAATGAATGACATTGAGGGCATAAAAGGCAATATTAAGTCATCCTCATCCTGAAGACGGGATGAATAAACTTCCAGTGTTACAGCTGTATTTCCATACCTTACCTGAACCAGAGCTGTGTACAGAAGAGGCATTCCTGATGGGATTTTTTTGAAAGCAGGCCCTTTGTGAAAGCAGGCCCTTTCTGTGGTACTATAACCTTTCTGGTCATCCCTGGCTTGAGCGTATGATCCTGAAGGGGGTGTGCATTTCTTGTGCTCAGTCATGGCCTTTTTCATCCTTTGAGCTGTATTTTGGTAGAGGTTGAATTTAAGACTTAGGTTGATGTAAAGTAAAAGTGGACCTCCACTTGGATAATAAGCAAAGTAGTTGCCTTTGTCCCTCGGTTTGTTTGCCTCATTACAGAAGGCTGACATAAGGCCAGTCTAGATCCAGATTACACCTCTATTTTGGTCCCAGTTCCCACTCTGTTCTCAGAGTTGCCTGCTTGACATAGATTGTTTTCTCCCATCTCTAGAGAGATCACTGCAACGCTTGATCACTGCAAGCAGCTGGCGATCAGTAAGCCATGTCTGCGTGTCCGAAGACAGAGGAGCCACACAGAGTGAGTGTTGTGTTTTTCTGAGTTTGCTCTTCAAGCAGAGTCGCTCTTCTTCTTCCAATACGCATAGTACATTGACCATTTTCATGTTTAATTCAGAATTAGATTCAGAATACTGTATTTCCATGGACAGCAACAAAGGTAATTTAACTAACAAAGCAGAGACTTAAGGGCATAGTTCACAAGATCAGAAGGTGTATGAGAGATGATAGTTTTCTCTGAAAGGAGGGAGAAAATCATGGAAGAAGAGAAATCTTCCCTGCGTGCACTTGCTCTGAGACGTGTAATACTGAAGAAAACACAGCCTCAAAAAAACCTCTGGTGAATGATAAAAAAATAGAAAATCCCAGTGCCCACATGGCATGAGTATGCACTAGACTGGCCCCTGAGGCCTTCATGTAGGAAGGGCTTTTTTAAGCTCTAGCAGTGTCATTAGAAAAGCAGGCATTGGAGATGAGACCATTTCAGTCACTGTAAAAACAGAAGCCCCATATTGCCCAGGCATCTGTGGAGAAAGGAATCTAAAAGAGGACAGAATCCCTTAGAGGGCTTTAAGGATGTTTGGTGGTAATGTGTGGATGTTAAAGATGGAGAGAACAGCTAGAGAAAAGACCAGACCAGATTCTAACTAGAGAATCACTAGCAAGAAAAATGCAGGTAGAAAGCAAGCTGTGTGAGAGTGAGCATGAAATGAAGGGGCTGGGAAGGAGAAAGACCACTGATGACACCCTTGTGTTTTCTCCAAATCCAGTGTCTTTCTCTTGCCTCACCTCTGCC